TGTGTCAGTAGCCACAGAGGACGAAGCTGGTTGCTCTAAAATTTTTTTCTAAAGATTGCTTTATATTCAGAAGCAACTCTCCCTGGCCCAGTACAGTACTTTTCACTAAATTTTTTTTCTTACAGTAGTTGTAGTGATTTAAATGGCTACTATTGAAATAGTTTGAGGAAGAACATTATGCTAATGCTGGTTTAGAAGTTATACTAAATAATCTTTATCTCAAACTTTTTAATTTTTCACTTGCTTTGTCAGCATCACTCAGCCTGCTGGCTGATCACTTTTTGAACCAAACATACAAATTTCACTAGTACACTGAATTTCACCTGGTTTTGTGCTTCTGGGATTTCTGTCTCTCTCTTTTCAAACTTAATTTTTTGTAGCCAGTATTGTAGGTGAAACTATCCTGTGTATGCTGTGAACTTTCTGGTTTTATAAACGCTGATGTGTTTTCATGGGCTTTTATCATTAATAATGAGTCTTCTGGATTTCTGACACTCCTTCTTCCCCTTTCTCTTTGCTTCCTCCCACTTGCTGCCCCCCTTTTTGGTTGTTCAAGTTAGCTCCATATCAGGTTTCTTGCATTACTATTTTAACCTTAGGCAGCTGCATCACTGTTCACTTCCAATACTGACTTTTTCTGAGATTGAATTAGTGTTAAAATGCTTTATATTGTGAATGTGTATGCTTTTTGTTTCTATGTAACTTAAGTGTTGGAGTATGTTTTGACAACCCTATCTCCTTCTATAGTATTTTTTAAAGTATTTTTAAAAGCATTTCATTCTGGAAACTTGTAGCAAAAGTACTGTTGTATCAAACTGTAGCTCTGGTATAGAAATCAGAAATTTATCCTCTTGTAGCTAAATCTGTCTGATGTACTCAATCATGGTACATTATTTGAATGAGAACTAGAGGATAATAATTCATTCTCTTTCTGCCTCTCTCATTCACATTCAAGTGTTTGGGTTTTTTAAAATTTTTTTAAGGACAGTTTATGGACTGATAACTACCAGAGCTTCATGTACTATCTAACAAGAGTAGTAGTTTATTGCAAAATGTGGAAACTTAAACCTGGCTATGAGACAAACCTTCTTAAATTTATTATAGCATGTTTGCTTTTTTAAAAGAAGAATCTACTGCTCACCTAAATTATAAAGTAGCTAATAAATGAGTTGTACTGATTTACTTTGTGCAGCTGCAGAAATCAACTTTGATCATAGTGCTGTGGTTATATCAGTACAATGCTATTCAACATATAAGAAATTAAAACAACTTTTTAAAGTATTTTCATTCTAACTAAAGATTTCATAATATAAACTACATAAAACACAACTGTATTTAAAGTGTTCTATTTAATACAATGTTTTAAAAAAAAAGAAACCTATAGAGATTTAATAGCCTATCCCTTCTTTAATTTTAATCCATCTATGTTTATCTCTATTTTTCTCAGAAATATATTAGGTTAGTCATAAGTTACTTTTTAAGTCTAAAGATAAAAGTTAAAGAATACTCTGTAGTATGGGGAATGAAACATTGAAATGTACATACCAAATTTCTGAATTCTGAGGTGTGATACTTATCTTTGCATTACTACTGAGCCTGTGTATTACTGCACATAAACAGATTTTCCCCTTTATTTTGTTTTCCAACATTCTCATGAGTGTACAAAGCTAAGCCATGGAAGAACTAGTAATTTGTTGAGGGGAAAAGAATGTATTTCAACTGAGAGGAAAGAAAGAGGGGAGAAAATAAGATGGAAAAAAAACCCTTGTAGGTTGAGATAAGGCAGTTTACTAAAGCAACAACAAAGATGCCATGCACAAGCAAAGGGAAAAGATTTTATTCTCTACTTCCCATCAGCAAGCGATGTCCGGCAACTTCCCGGGAAGCAAGGCTTCACCATGCCGAGCAGCTGCTCCAGAAGACAAACGTTGTAAATAACAAATGCCCTCTCTTTCTCCTCCTTGTCTTAGCTTTTATATCTGAGCTGAGGTCATATGATCTGGGATATCCCTTTGGTCAGTCTGGGTCAGCTGGCCTGGCTGTGTCCTCTCCCAGGATCTTACCCATCCCCAGCCTACTGTTGAGGGGGTAAATGCTGGGGAGGCAGTTCTGATGCTGTGCCAACCCTGCTCAGCAGCAGCCAAAACAGTGGTGTGGTCTCAACACCTTTCTAGATCCCAATGCAGAGCACAGCACTGGGAGGGCTGCTGTGGGGAAATGAACTCCAGCTCAGCCAGACAATACGCTTATCTCAACCCACAAGATTTACCTTTTTTCAGATTCTCTCCCCCATTGCACTGGGGAGGGGGGAGTGAGGGAATGGCTGTGTGGTGTTTAGCCAGGTTAAACCACAACACACTTTAAAAAAACCCAACCAACCAACAACATTTTAAATTTAAAATTTCAATAGGAATTTTCTTTGTAATGTTAATTTGCAGTAAATGAGAATATACATAATTGACAAAAAAAAGGGGAAGAAGATAACATACAGAAGTAGTGCTTTAAATGTATGGTTATTATCTGTAGCATAAACTTTTTTAATATTACTCTCCTTGCTATCTAGGCTTGGCTTCACCTTTTTTTAATTGTGTATTATGTTATGATGATACTTTTTCATATATTATTCTCAGTATGTGCTACCCTTTCACTATTTCCCTTTCACTAAGGGGTCCTTTGTATCACTTCCTTTGTGCACTGTAGTTTCTTCCTCCCTGGAATGTCTTTTACAATATCTGTTGTTCTCATAAAGCAGTAAGAGTCTAAATATGTATATACTGAATATGCAAGACTATCTTTGCACATATGTAAATTGGGTTTCTACTTCTCTGTTTGAACTGCTACTCTGACACATTGTTTAAAAGCTTTTCAATGCAACAGTTCTTTGATTTCCTTAATTCAGCTAATATTAAAGTAACAGTTTTCTTTTTTCAGTCTAGAGGCAGAAATGCTCGACTACTATTGGTAATAGATACTGCACAAAGCTGATAATATAAATATTGATAAATGTTGACTCGTTACAGTTGGGGAATGAAAAAACAAAACATAACAAAACTTGTCTGTTTTGACTTGTCTGGCTTGTCAAGCCATAATTATTGCATGATAGGGAAACATTGAAAAGTTTACTTCAGTGGTTTATAAAAACTTTGTGCAAGAAAAGTGCTTATAATATTAAGTTTCTTTGTTTTGCTTGGAATCTGTACATATGTATTAGCAGTGGTGTTATATGTTGTCATTGGTATGGCATAACAAAGAATGAGATAAAGATTATTAAGAAAATGACTGATATTTTGGTTTATATGTATTGTATATGTAACTTGCAAAAATGTGGACTTTTAAAGTAAGCGTAAGCAAATCATGATTTCAGAATCTTCAGTAAACAACATAAATGCTGACAGAAGAAGTCTTACTATTTCATGAATTGTTAACACAGGATCCTGTCTATAATAGGTAAATGTATATACATCAAGTTCATTTAATTTGTCTTCAAAAAATATGCTAAATTTTTGTCATTTCATTAGTATAACAATAGTGGATTGTAATGTGTGATATTTGTAAATTTTTGTTGTTTTGGAAATGCAGTTCAAATTATTGTGATGATCTTTTTTTTGGGGGGTGATGGGTGGTTTTTTTTTTTGTTCTTCTGTTTGTTTTAAATAGTGTGGGCTTCCTTACAATTGGGATCTTTATAGTGACTGAGAACTAGATGAACAAATTCCTTTTCAGTAGTTGAATATAAATTATGCTGTTTTACAGGAAATAAACAAGATAGTTCAGTGGTGACTAAACCTTTTCTTTCTGTGGAGGGGGTGAAACAGTTCCTGGTAGTAGTTTGATGAGAGAATGTTTAATATTAAAGAGATATTTTTAGATAAATTTTGAAATGCTACTACTTTATAAATTGTCCTGGTTTTGGCTGGGATAGAGTTCATTTCTTCTCAGTAGCTGGCACAGTGCTGTGGTTTGGATTCAGGATAACAATAATGCTGATGTTTTGGTTGTTGCTGAGCAGTACTTACCCTGAGTCAAGGGCTTTTCAGTATCTCAGGCTCTGCCAGGGAGGAGCTGCACAAGAAGCCAGGAGGGAGCATGGCCAGGACAGGTGACCCAAACTGGCCAGAGGGATGTTCCACATGATAGAATGTCATGCCCAGTATATAAACTGGAGCCAGTTGGTCAGGAGGGGCTGATTGCTGCTCAGGGACAACCTGGGCATCGATCAGCAGGTGGTGAGCAACTGTACTGTGCATTGCTTGTTTCTCTTGGGTTTTATTCCACTGTCATCTTTGGTTATCTCCCTTTTCATTACAAGTAGCAGTAGTAGTAGTAGTATATTTTACCTTATTTAAATTATTAAACTGTTCTTATCCCATGTGGTTTTGCCTTTTTCTGATTCTCCTCCCCATCCCACCTGGGGTGGGCAGTGGGGGTAATGAACGACTGCATGGCACTTAATTGCTGACTGGGGTTAAACCATGACAAAAATATGCTAAGATTTTGTATTTGTAACTTTGCTTACTGTTTGACTTTTGCACCTGTAAATTATTCCTTTTGTTTTTGCTATCTTCTTGTATGAAAAATATCTCCTCCAAAACTGAGAAGTGAATATAGCAGCTAATTACTTAAACTGATTATGGATTAAGAGCTGTTCACTGCATTATGAGCCAGCAGTTTTATTACTAATTTTTGCATTGGTACCATATAACCTGAGTAAATTTTATTTTGATTGCCTTATGTTGAATCTTTTTTGGTGAAGGGCTCTGCTTCTGAAACCAGAAGCTTGCCTTTTAAATGCTTAATGCCATTTAATATTTAAATTCTACCTTGTTCTACCCACTTTTGACAAAATTGCTTAGAATGCATCTGAGGTTATGGTCTATGTTTCATTTATGTTATTGAATTTAAAATTCTTTTAAGTAAACAGAGTTTTAATTTGGTTTTGTGGTTTGTTTTTTTTTGTGTGTGTGTTTTCTGTGTTTTGTTTTTTGTTTGTTGTTGGTTTTTTTTTTTAGTGCTTGGGAGATGGGAAGTAATGATAGCTGGCACCTGAACTAAAATATCTGTGTAGGCGCTACCATCCCAGAACTTCAGGATGAATGGGGATATGCCTCATGTTCCCATCACTACTCTTGCAGGGATTGCTAGTCTTACAGACCGTAAGTACTCTTTTTTGTCTTTGCTATGTTCCCTTCTACCTCTTCAGTAAATACCTGCATTTTCAAAATACTAAAAACAGTTTTATTTTTAAAGTTCTTAAAAGTAAATCTGTTGAAAACCAGATTTGGTATTAAAATATTTTTTGTCCTTGCTAGAAGTTTAAAAATATATTCAAACAAAATATGCTAATTTAAACATGAAATGAAATGTAGGTTAAAAAAAAAGCCCTGAAGTACACACGGAACATAAAATATAGGAATTCATTGTTCATTTGGAATATCATTCGGTAACATATCTGGGAACCCCACAAATAAAGAAAAACATAAATGATAAAACACTCTAAAACATGCATATCATCATCTTCACTGGAGAGAGAGAAAGATATGATTAGACTGATTTTCAGCTAGAGAGAGTTGTGGAATATGCTGAATATACTTGAAACCTAGTTTCTTAGTTTTGGACAAAGTACAAAAAAGTTACTCTAATTAACAAGTGCGAAGAATGGCTGCTAGAATGGAAATAAGCAGCTGAACCTATGAGGCTTCTTTCTCATCTATGAGTAGATGAGGTGTGTGTACTGTCTTTAAATATGTCAGGAAGACAAAATGCAAGGAAAGAAAAAGAACTATTTACATTAAAAGTTGGTGCTGGCACAAAACCAAATGGTTAGAATCTGACAAAAAATAAATTTCTAGTGGAAACTAAGGAGATTTATCATTACTATAATGAAGTCCTAAAACAACCATTCCAATAAGAGAAATTGGGACAAAGGTGGATCTTTTTTATAAAGTGTAAGCAAGAGTTTATAACTCAGTTGTCTGACTGAGGATAATTGAACTCAGTGATCCAAGTGCTTATTCTGAGCTCTTGTTTTTATTATTATACTGTTGAAATTTGGAGACTTTCCAAGAGACACTAAAAGTATATACCCGGCAATTGAATTTAATTGCCTATAGTAAAAAAAAGTAAATGCATTCAATGGGGGGGAAAACCCACTTTATGTCTTTCTCATATTCTGAATTATCAAATCGGAAGATGCTGCTTATGTATTTTTATATGTATCATTATGTGTGTCTAAATATGGGCCATCAGGATGCAAATCATAAGTTTCTGCGCTATAGACTGTTTTCCAGCACTAAGTATTTGCAGGTAAGGTTCTCAAGTCAAAATACTTAACTGATAGAAGTCACTGGCTAGACTCCCAGTGCAAGAATTTCTTAAAACACTGAACTACCTTTGGTGGGATTAGCCCTTGTGTTAGGTGCATTTCCTTCTTTATCTGTCATATTTCTTTGATGTTCAGAAACTCAAGAGTGTGGGAAAGAGAAAGGCATGTCACTGCTTTACCTTATTCCTCTTTGTGTGAAAAGAAGGTACTGGAATGGACAAGTCTTGTTGCCCTAAAAACATGGAGGACATGATGACTAGAGGCAGTAGAGTAGGCTCAATTTACTAGCTGAATTTATACTGTTTTAATAAATATGTTTAGCTGATCTTACTAATTTTTCTGAGTTTCAAGGCACATTCAGGGTAATCTAATGCAAGTAATGAAAGCTAACTATTTTGATATATTAAATTTTTTTTCAATTGCAGTTTATTTATAAATACAGAATAATATACATTGTATGGGGGGAGAAAAATACTGAAATTCTGCCCATCTCCTGTGGGGTTTTTTTAATAATTTCAAAATATAAAAGAGACAAAAGACTTTTTTGTTCTGTAGCTATTTCTAATGTAATCAGCCTGGGAACTTGAAGTCAGAGTCAGCTTGTTTTTGTGGACCCATGAAAGTGGGTTGTTAAGGTTTTTTTGGTGGTATTTTTTGTTTGTTTGTTTTAAACAACCCTCACCATACAAAGTGGGAACACTAATTAAATCTCAAGGTCAGAATAGAAAACATTTCCTTCCTTACCTTTGTCCATGCTTTCAACTCAAAGAGAAAACTGCCATAACATTAAATAACTTAGTATTCTGGAATGTTTAAAAGTATGTTTTTATTAATAATACTTGCATTAGCACAGTTAAATATTTACAATAATATAATAATATAATTTATGGATTTGACTGCATTACTTTGTGTAAAACAGAGTCCTGCCTTTGTGTGTATGTGTTCATGATTAAAAAAAAATCCAGAAATCTTTTCTATATTTTGAATGTAGTTGTCAGGTTTTCTTTCTTAATCACATGAGGGAGTAAGAAGGTGTCCATCTTTGTATGCTCATGTTTTGTGAAATGATTCTGAACTCCTTTCTGTTTTCTGATAACAGTTTTGAACCAGCTGCCTCTTCCATCACCTTTACCTGCTACAACAACAAAAAGCCTGCTTTTCAATGGACGGATAGCTGAAGAGGTGAACTGCCTTCTGGCTTGCAGGGATGAAAATCTGGTTTCACAGCTCATCCACAGTCTCAATCAGGTGTCAACAGATCACATGTATGTATTTTGAACTTCAACTATATTAGATCATCATCCTTATTACTTGAAATTAAAGTGAACTGAATTGAGAAGGGTGTTTGTGAGAATCTGAAGATTATAACGTGCCATTTTTTTTATTAGACCATCTTAACAGATTACTGCTGTATAGGAATCACTTGTTTCAGTCAGTCAAAATGCTAGTCATTGTCTGACAGACCTTATGTGTAACAAATTTTTTTTTAATAAATCTACTGTTTGTTCCATTCTTACTAGTTAGGAGTGCAAACTTTGTAGTATTGATTGTGCAATAGTCATTTGTGTTCCAATTTGATTAATAATGAACACTGACAAATTATATATACAGTATTATACAAAAATGCTTTTTTGAGACACCCATGCAATATCTATGTCGGTTCTGATTAGATATTGAACTTAAATATTTAAAGAATTGAACCAGCAATTATGCTAATGTCATCTTTTTGTTAATATATATTTTGTTTTTTAATTTTTCACTGGTGTCCTTTGAATTGTCTTATGTTGACAACCCTGTCTTTTTCCTACAAGTTCCAATCTATTATTTTGATCAAATGGAAGTAGCTCTTAAAAGTCATCAATGCAAAGAATAAGTGAAAGTAAGGATGCATTTATAGAAAATCCATTACATTTTTGATGGTTCAAAGGGAATCCTGTGATGTCAAAGATATGCCAATTTCCCTTTTTAAAATAAAAGATTCTCAAAGGATTGGGCTGCAATCTGAATGTTATGCATTCATGCATATTTTATTTTCATTCCTACAACAGTACTTTCTTGATGTTATGACAAAGCATTCTTCTTTTATGGAGAAGTGGACACAAGAAGCTTTTTATAATACTCTGAAACTGACAACCATGTATATATAAGTGCTTATTAACAGAAAATAATTTTGAAGACTAGTAGGAATACCTTTTCTGCCATTCCTTTAGCATGAGAGGAAAAAAAGTAGAGGTAGGGAATAGTGCTTTGAAGATTTGTGGGGTTTTTTTCTATATTTTAACAGTAAAATGTTGTCTTTTTGTTTCGGTTTTGATTGTTTTGGTTGTTTGGGTTTTTTTACTTGACTCATGATTTTTTATAATTTTAAAATACATTTACCTCTTTATTTGCTTACTTCCACAATTCCAGAGAATTGAAAGATAATCTTGGCAGTGATGATCCAGAGGGAGATATACCAGTCTTGCTGCAGGCTGTCCTGGCAAGGAATCCTAATGTTTTCAGGGAGAAAAGCATGCAAAACAGATATGGGGTACAAAGCGGTAAGGATTTTTGATTGACTATTGATTGTTTTTATGTTGTTCTGTAAGTTTAGGGGGCTGGTACTAACCACAAATATATATGGAGCACAACTGTGATATTTATGCCTTACCTTGTATTTGATAATGACATAAAACTATGTGTCTTGAGATCTTCTGAGAGCAATTGCATTAGAATAAGCACAGAAATACACTCTACTAGGTATTTTTGTAAAAAATAATGTTGAATTTCACTACAAAATTTAATTTCTAGGATGAGTGATTGGATATTATTTTAAAACAATTTTATTTGAATTTCTTTATAGCTAGGTTCATATATTTGTCGTAGTAAATAATTTAAGTTGGGAAAATATGCTTTGATCTATATTGAAAATCTATACAATTATAGTTTATCATTATAGTGGTATTTCTTAATAGTTCTGGGGTAAGGAATAAGGTTGAATGAACCATACATAACATCTCCTCCTTGCCATTCCTCTTCTCAGCAATTTGTGATGCCCTACAGATTTTACTGTTTCTATAGCTAATTCTTTTCTGAGGTTTAGTGAGATATACTGCTGAATGGCAAAGATGGAGAAAGGGAGAGACCAAACAAAGGATTAATCAGACAGATTCTATTTGTAGATCTGGAGACTTCTTCATTTGCCCCTGAAATCTTTTCTTTAAATACTAAACTATGAAATGAGTGGGTGAATTTTCAGTTTTCACAATGTGAGGATAAAACTTTACTAGCACTGTAGCGATATAGACAGAAGTGTTACTGGAGTCCACAGGGGATAGAAAGTGTTAAGGTGTTTTTGGAGGGGAAAAAATAATAAAATTAGATTATTAAGTTCATTCACCTAGGCTAGTGAGTAAAAAGCAATACAGTATTTGAAAAGAACTTACTAAGAACAGGACACATTGTTCCTTGAAAGAATGCTGAAATTTCCAGGAATGAAAATGTGAAAGGAGTACTAAATATTTAGTAGGTCATTGATACCTATATCCTGAAATATAAGCTCTTAAAACAGTCTCCAGGTTCTGGGTTTGGTGGTAGCTGTTGCAGAGTATGATTTTTCCAGCTGCTGGAAGAATTGTGACTGTCCTGCCAGTTTTTACAGAGTGGTTCCACAAAGAACATATACTTGTCCTGGTTTCAGTTTGGATAGAGTTCATTTTCTTCTTAGAAGTTGGTACAGTGCTGTGATTTTTTGATTTAGTATGAGAATAGTGTTGATAACACACATTTTCCCACCAGTTTTGTAGAGTAAAATAATTCTTTTCCAGTGCAAAAGAGAGACATTGTTTTTAAAATTATTTGTTCCTGCAGAGGTTTTTGAAGGAAAGAAGATATAGCGAGTTAGATTCTTTCTAATTTTTTCTAATTCTGTGCTTCAGAGGGGAAAACACTTTTGCAGCTCGATTCAATAGATTAAGAATAATCCTTAATGAAATAAAACCACCTATCTTTAGTAAATGTGCTTGAAGGGAGGTACTAGTACAGAATTAAAAAACAAACATAAAAGAATAGTTGATGTTATTTTAATAAAGTTAACAAAGTGCTTTCAGAGAGCCAGAAGAGATCAGACTTTAAAACTTCCTTGAATATTTGATTTTATTTTGCATAATTCTGAATACTTGTACCAGTACAAACATTGCAATGTAAGTGTGAAATTGGAAAAAGTGAAAGAGGGAAGAGAGAAAAAGTATACCTGTACACAAAGTATTTTGAGATGAAGAAGGCCATGTAATGAATGTTTGGAAAAGCTAGGTGAAGCGCGACTTTATTTTCTATGGAAAAAGACCACACTTTTACCTAGAAATAAGGGGATCTTTAAGCTAGATGTTGGCAAATTGTGGTAACCTTATTAGGTGTTAGTACATCTCATTCAGATCTCCAAGGCCAAAGGAGGGTATACTGATGTGTTCTGACAGCAAAGGTTGGGCTTTCTTCTGCTTTCTGAACAGATTTTGTAATCTCTGTAAAGTCGTGATTTGTAGAACACTTGGGAATTTGGTAGAGACCTTATGTAATGCATTTTGCCAGCTATAAGAATGAAATTTAGACCTTTTTCTAGTATTTCAAATTTACCTCTTCTGTTTTCCTTACTGTCTGCCTTCTGTTGAGTCTAGCATGTGGTGAAGTCAGTGCTGGGTACTGTGATCCAGTATTTGTAGTGCCCAGAATTGAGAAGGAATGAAGGCAGCATGACCCCTGGTCTATTTACTCAGCCTGGGGTGGGCCTCTGCACCATGATCCCTTGAGCATCAGTTCCAGCATTAGTATGGACAAACTGAACTCAAATTTGTTTCTCCCAACCTTTTTTTCTGTGATGATTTTAAAACTCAACGGGAAGACCACACCCACTCAAACCACCCCCTTTCAATAGTGGAGAAAAAAATACTAAGAGGATTATAAGTTAGAGTCACAGTTTACTGAAGAAATTGCAATAAACACAACAGTAATAGTAAAAGATTGTACAGAAGAGGGAATGGTTTAACCAACACAGGCAAAGTGTTGCTTCGCCCCCCTAGGACAAAACTAAAATGGCATCTGTTCCCACGCTGTGCACCATGTGGTCTCCCCCAGACAAAACCAAAATGGTGTCCATCCCCATGCTGCATGCCATGTGGCAACCCCTACCCCCCCCACCAAGAACAAAGGCAAGATGGTGGAGAGACTCTCCTGGCTCAAACTCCCCCAAACTGAGGTGTGGCAATGGGTGTATTCTCTCTCTCTCTACTGTGGCAGCAGTGGCGGTGGCAGCAGTAGCAGAAAGAGTGGCAGTGACCGCAGCGATGAAGGTGCCAACAAGGGGTCTCCTGGTGGTGGTGGGCAGCTCCGCTGCATTCTTTTTTTTCTGCCCCACTCAACTGGACTGGGGGTTACCCCTGCTGCTCCGTTCCCTATGGCAACCTCCCACACCGGAGCTGTCCTTTCGGCACCACCACCAAACTGCAACTCAGAAGGCACAAGTAGGGAAATGGCAGTAGTGGAGGTGCAGTCTGGGTGGCGGCTACATCTTCCAAGAGCTGGGCAAGAGAAAATGGCGACACTTTCGACCCCCTCGCTTTTCCTAGTGAAACCACCCCCACAGGGTGGTGATGTGGGTGGTATTGAATATTCAACACTAAAGCTCTACCCCCTTGCTATTTTCTAATGCAAGAACAGAAAGACCACCTGGCTAAAGAATTAGATTAAATGTGGAATAAAACTCTTGGTTCAGTACAATTTGTCAGGAAATAAAGACCTCTTCAGAAACCTAAATATTATGTGTAGAATATTTGTGAATATAAGGTAAAGCACAAGTAGAGTTCTGTGCTGAAGGTTTTTTCCACAGTCATATTGATTTGTAGCTCAACACTAAGTTTAGAACCAGAATTGTTTTTAGTTATGATGAACAAATAGTGCAAGAAAGATGTATTATGTGAATACTTAGTATCCTGGGTGTATGACCCTCCCCCACCACCTCCACCCCTGAAAAACTGCTGGCATATTTAATTTCAGGTAACGTAGCAGCAGTGTTCAAACCCTTATTCCATGTCTTATGATAATAATGCCATTCTTGAAAACAGAGTTCATGCAGATAAGATGTTTAATTAGATTTTTCAGACTGTTTTCTATTACTAGGTTGTCTGAACAGACTGAGTCACATCACTGTGCAGCATCAGTACAAGGACAGCATGTTAATTTTATTTTAGACCTTTTTAATCAAATGACAGAGAAAGTTCTGGGTACTGTCTTTCAACTACGTCTTGTATCTTATAGTGTACAAGTGAAGTGGATTTCTTTATAATTTATTTAAAATTAAGCTATTATTTAATTTCAGTTTTCATAATTTTTTTTCTCTTTCTTCTCAAGATTTTGGCTTTGTCTTTCAACAGATGTATGTTAGAAGATCAACTAAAATAATGTATTGCAATAGGTTAGTCTTCATAACATAGCTTAGGGTGCAGAAAGGACTTAAAATTCACTTTAAACTATTTACCACAACTTGTACATTTTTGAGGATTAAAATCTTATGCATCTTTCCATAAGCATCAGTTGCTTTGATATTTTTTCATTTATATGAGAATTCAAATGCACATGTACCTGTAAAAGGGAAAAACTTTATAGACATATGCTTTCAAGAAGAGTATATATTTAACTGAAAAATCACCTTTTGGTGAGCAGTCCTTGCTTAAGCATGCACGATGCTGTAATACAGTTTAATCATACAAGACTTTGTCTGTGATCTTGAGCTGTGTTTTTACATTCTTTGGCATTTAGTAGGAATACTAAAATGGATTTATACGTATCACTTTTTTCTGAGCAAAAAAAATTATAGTCAAGACTGGGAGTATGTGTTAAGGAAACAAAGCTGGCTGATACCCCTGATGCCTAAAGGAGCTGAGGAAAAAAACTCCAAAGCAATTTAATTGGAGACGAGATAAGAAAAGGGTTTAATTGAGTAACAAGATGTGTGCACCCCTCTGTACAGATGTTACAATTTATAATATTGCTTGTCCAATCCCAGGTTTTGTCCACCCACTGGCTTTTGCCCTGGACCACTCTCAGTCACACCCCTTGGGAATTGGGGCTAGGGGCTTTTCGAGACCCCTTCTTCATCGTCTTCATCTTCTTCGGGGTACAGGGGGCACACGTTCACCCAGTTCTTGACTGTACTCTTGCGGTTTAGGCCAAGGTACAAGTGTTCTCTAAACAAAATGGGCCTACTCTTAAAGAGAGACTAAACATTTTCTACTGGAATTCAGGGGATAATGATATGGGAGCATGGAATGGGGTGATAGGGTAGGGGAATGTGTGTAGTTTCTATGCTAAGTGAATAAGGGTTGCTGTTTCTAAAATCTACTTCTACTATATAACTACTTATAAAGCTTATAAAAATTAGGAAAATAAGAAAAAAACAGATGGACCTTACGGCATCACCCCAGAGTACTGCGCAACCCTTTAGAAGAACCTAAACAGGTTGGAGAGATGGGCAGAGAAGAACTGTCTGAAATTCATTAAAGGCAAATGC